CTCCCCCACCTCCTGTTATGCCAGCTACTGCACCCCCTCCACCTCCTCTGCCCCAGCCTGCAGCCCTTTCCAAATCACCTAAGGCAGCAAGCGAGGAAAGCAGCAGTACAGTGCCTGCAGGTAAGGAGAGAGGCATCTGGGACAGATTTTCCTATGGTTTTCTCTGGCTAGGAGTTTATCTCTTCAGTTCCTCATTCTGCAAACAGGAGATGCTGCTCCATACAGGCATGGGCTACCTGCAGCCTGTAGCTTAGTTCAGACAGCCCCAAAAGAGCAGGCTGAGTTGCATGTTGCAGCTGATGGAGGATAGTTTCTGACCAGCTTGGGATCAGAAACCCTGGACTCTTACGGCATAGGTGGCATCCATTCCTGTAGTCAGACACCTGTTCTTCCTCTCACTGCAGCTGCAGTCCAGGGGGCTCCAAAGGAAGTTGTGAACCCCTCAACTGGCCGGGCCACTCTTCTGGAGTCCATCCGTCAGGCTGGGGGCATTGGAAAAGCCAATCTACGGAGTGTCAAGGAGAGAAAGCTGGAGAAGAAGAAGCAGAAGGAGCAAGAGCAAGGTACCTGGGTGCCTGCACATTGGTGGGAGCCCTCTCTTCCCCTCCCCAGCTAGATATTCATGGAGGCATCAGGGGTACAAAAGTGAAAGGAACCTCTGCAAATGCTGAGACACAAAGCCATGTGGCAGGCATCCCATGCTCCCAGCAGCTTGTAGGAACTCAAAGCAGAGGGACTGCATCTCTCCCCACATGCTGGGGAGTCTGTTTTACATTTGGATGCAGCTCTGTGAACTTGTTAACCCCTCGCTTGTAGAAATGCATTAGAGCTCCAGAGTGGGGATTCTCCCTAGGATGGCAGCAGTTGAAGAGTTTTACATGAACTTGCACTGAAGGTAGTTCAGGGCTGGCTGTCTCGGGAGGCCAGTAGAGGTGCTAGGACATGAGTGAGTTGTGTTCAGTGGACTGACTTGCTCCAGTTCCAGCCAACCTGCTCAAATACTAGCATTTTCTTCCCTCTGAGTTGCTCCACGCTGGTTTCCGTGGAAGGGCTGGGGTGCTGAGACCTTGTACTCTGACTGAAATGAGGGGCAAGGATTTCATCTGAAAGCAGTACTGTTAATGGCAGGATCCCAGTGCAAGGTTAGTCCTGGTCTTTATCATGTCCTGCTATTCTGCCAGGCAGCTCAAATGTACCCTACAGCACCATACTATATTCCAGTTGAGGCAGGTAAAGGGTGGGAGGTTCTGATCCAGGCAGGGGAGCTCGTGTGCAAGCTTTATAACCTGCCATTAGTCCCTTAGCTGTAGCATGTACCGGAAGTAGCAGAACAAGGGTTCAGTCTCCCCAGCCTCATCCATGGGGTTTTTTTGCTGTTTCAGTGAGAGCTACGGGACAAGGTGGGGACTTGATGTCAGACCTCTTCAACAAACTGGTGCTGAGGCGCAAAGGTACTGTTCCATGGGAGGAGGGGTGGGCAATGGTATTTTTCCTACCTCTGGAAAGGGGCAACAGGCTGATTTCCCTAGTCTTAATGCAGCAGCAATGACTGAGTGGCTACTGTAGCCGTTAAAATGGAGGGATGACTTAGTTCAGCAGGCCATTTAGATGAATGTTTTTGTGCCAATCAATGCCTCTGTAGGCCAGACTGCAGGGAGGGGTTGCTTTAGCAGAGCAGAGGGAAATGTACTGTTTCTGACTGCAGTTTTTCCCCTACATCAGGCTGCTGCTGCAGTGGGATGCTGTGATGTGTGTGAGGCCTGAGCATTGGTGGCATGGATTGTATTGAACAGTCAATGGGGGAGCACTACTGTCCCTGCTCTTTACACAGGAGGGGCTGAGCAGAGGGTTTAAGGTCTCTCCAGGAGAGGATTCTAATATAGGAGGAAGCATTTTGGAGTTGCCTGTTCCTAGAGCTGGGGCTGCTCTGCAAATTGCAGGCAAGAACTGCCGCTTCACCCAGGGGCTTGTTAAATGAGTCTATCTGCTCCAGCACAGCTGGGTTAATTTTGTTTGCACTTTTGTTCACCTGGGTCACTCAGGTGATGAGGCAGCAGTAGTTCTGTGTAGTACAGGTCACAAAGATGCTCTGGCTCTCATCCTCTTAGCTCAGCTAAACCTCGTGTCACTTATCTTGCTGTTTCTCCTCCCCAGGCATTTCGGGTAAGGGGCCTGCAGCTGCAGGAAATGCTGATGCTCCAGGGGGCCCTGCCAATGCCTTTGCACGTGTGTCAGACACGATACCACCCCTCCCGCCCCCACAGCAGCCTCCTGGTGAGGATGAAGATGACTGGGAGTCATAAATGGTGGCAGCCTCAGGCCCTGGATTGATTTCCTGTTACTCATCAGTGAATTGGCCACTGCTGAGCTAAGCACCTCAGTTGGACCAGCTTGTGGAAATATCCTCTGGAGGGTGGGCACTGGATTGGCAGAAGGACCCTGTCATTTCTTCTTAGTTCCTGCTCATCTCTAACCCTTGCTGAATATAGTTATCAATGAGTGTTACTTCTGCTGTTTGCTTTCCCCACCCCAAATCATACATTTCATCTCAGCCATTGCTGCTGCTCAATAAACCCTGCTGTAGCTCGAGGGCTGTTGTGCTGCTGATGCTCAAAAAGCAGAATGAGCATCTCTCCCTATTAAGGGGCCTTCAGTCTTTCTGAATGTGATGCATGCCAATTTGCTGAAAAAGCTGTGCTTGCAAAACAGCCCTTGGCTTTCCATGCCCCTTGCTGACAGCCGATTGTTTGCCTGGATGCTCTTGCGTGTAAGTTCTGGGAATAGATGGGAATGTGTGGGATTTGAAACCACCCAGTCCTAAAGTGGGTCAAATAGAAAGCAGCAGCACAGAAGTAGGTACTATGAAACCAACTAACTGCAGTGGAGCTATGGCTGTTCTTTCCTATTAGTACAAATGGTTTCTACGTGCATCATACCATAACTCCAGGAACAAATGCACAGCAGCCTCTTCTCTATTCTACTCGAGGAGATTAATATTTCCAGGGAAAGCCCAGCTGTCCACCATTAGTCTCTTTGGCAGAGCTAGTGAACAGCATGCATTTTCTAGACTAGTCTAGCCAATGCAGAGAGACTGGAGGTGCTAAGTGGGCCAGGTACAGTACACCTGAGGGTTTTCTCAGAGCTTAAGCAAGAGTCTGAAAGCTGGAATAGGGGTAGAAAAGGATGAAGTAACTACAGCAAAGTGTCTACAGCTAACTTCTAATGAGCAGCTGTTTCTCCCTCTGGGGCTAATTAGATGGGACCTAGAGTTCCTCTCAGTACTGGCTCATTGTGTCTAATCTTCACTTTGTGCCCACTTCAGAGCTGGGTTTGCCTGAACACTATGCTGTAGGGGAAGGTAGAGTCCAGCTCCTGAAAAACCAAGCATATAAAAGATTTAATACACTTGCATAAACCTTAAGATGGGGTATTCTCTTTTGCTCTATAGAAGGGCAAGAGTAGGGCAAGGGCTTCCTCACCTCTGAACTTTTCTGAGAGCTACAGCCTGACAGGTGTAGGTTTTCCTAGCTGCAACCCCTGCAGTGCCTCTGTCCTTGTTCATAACAAAGCCAAGAGGGGGCAGCCCCTTCCTTGCTTTTCATTTATTCTGGTGTGCAAATACAGAAAGGGGTTTAAACTAAATTTACCGTCTCTTCCTTGTCATCTTTGAGCTACCCTTTCTCACCTATAAGCTGCATGAATGTGGTTTGCTGGAAAGGCAGAGGTAAAGTTGAACAGCTGGAGGGGCTGCTTGCAGAGAAAGTAGTGTGATCAAAGGAAAACAAAATAAATGATGCAGTGTTTTCTGACTGCCTGATATACTCAGTCCATAAAGCAGAGCTCACTTACTCCCTTGTGGAATAGCGAGGCATGCCTAGAGCTATGCTTCAGCTCTACACTTTGTCCACACTAGCTTGAAGGCACTGTACTCAGATGGTGAATGCTTTACACCTACCTTGCAAGAGCAGCAAAGTGGTGATGGCTAGCTGTGTCTAAACAATTGTGTAATCTAGAAAAGATGTTCCTTCAGCTAGCAAACAATGCAGTAGACCCAGGTGCCAGCCATGCTTGGACTTTTTTGGGCCCCAGGATTTCTAACCACTCTCCAACATTTCAACGTTAGCATATGCAGAAGGATTTGGATCCAGAACTCCAGCTTTCCAGTTGTGCCCTTTAGTAATAATGGCCCAGTCTTTCCCACCTCCCTTTACTCTCTGTAACAGTGATACCAGAGAATGTTGCTTTTCCCTAGGATTCATTAAAAGTAGTTCCTCCAGGGGTAAAGCTAATAGTCAAAAGTGCTTAAAAAGCAGAGATGGCAAAGTCATTTTCTTGCTGTTCAGTCCCTTGTCGGTTATAAATGTGCAGCTGTATGCAGCTTCCCATCATAAGCTGCTAAGTTACACACTGCATTCACCAGCATAAGCACCTGTGAGTGGATTGGTTAGCTAGTTACATACTCTCTCAACCCCCTCTCCTGGTCACTAATAGGACCTCCAAATTTCATGTAAGGTGTATCTTTACTCTTCCCCAACCTCAGTCCTGGAAAGCGTAGGGAGTAAGTGACTCAGCATTCACGGCTTTGGGTTCAGTGAAGATGTTTATTTAAATCATAACCTGAAACTACAAAACACTATGGAACAAACACAGGTACTAAAGAACCCCAGCAACATACCACCAAGTGGTAGCAAAAGTTGATGGCGCATTTGCTTCTATCCCCATTTCCCTCAGTGTCTAGCTGGAGGAGAAGAAGGTTCTCCCCTACCACACTGCTGCCCTGTGGAGGCAGCCAGCTGTACCAAGGCACTCTCTCCAGCCCAGAAGCATAGTGAATGAACTGATGTCAAACAGGAAAGAGTAGATTAGTAAAACATGTACAACTGTGGAGCCTGTGAAAACCTTCCAACTGCTTCTGGTTCTGCAGGGATGACAAACTGTGGTTTTCTGTCTGGTTCACAAGCAGGAAGCATTTAATCTCCCCTCAGGAAGATGCTGGCCTATAACATGACTTCTCTCGATGGAACTAGGAAGAAAGACAACCAAGAGAGCATTGTTCATTCCTAATCATAACTGTGCAGTACCTAAAGGAGGTTTATCTTCTGTGCAGGTAGGGAGGGGCTAAGCAGGCACATTAAGATATCTGCTAGGGTAGTCACTGAGCAAGCTTCTCATGGGGAAGATGAGTGCATAAAGGGAAATGGGTCTTTAGTAGGAGTTTCCATATGTAAGGTACGTAGAGAGGAAGTGACGCTCACCTTCCTTAATTCTGCAAACGCTTGTCCAAAGCCAGTCTTGATTAGTGTTCTTTCCTTGATCCACTGAGGTAATTTATTGAAGACAGCAGGGCGAGCATACCTGTGATCTAGGAGCAGGATGCTTGCAAAGTCTTTCTGATGGCGAATAGCTCTCCCTGAACAGACAATAAAGCAACCTCAGTTCCATCATTTCTCAGGGCTCTAGTCTCTCTCTCACACACAGAAACAGACACAGACAGACACAAAATCAGCAAAACTACTCTGAACAAGAATCTTCTAAGCTGGGCTGTAACGGATGGAGCCCCCTAATTGTGTTGAACCTTGATCCAGCTTCCAAGTATTTATTCTCCGGGTGCCACAAAAAGTCTTCCTGCTGCCCCTCTCGGCCCACTACTGCTCCTCCGCTTCCCTGCCTGCTCCTCCATCCCGGTCCCCCCACCCAGTTCCTAGACAGATGAATTCTTACCTATTGACTGATTTACTGCTTTCATGCATAGATTTTCAATCAGCATTCTGCTAGGTGCCTGACCAGCAGTTTTTGCCTAGGGGAGAAATAAGTAAGACTGAGTAGAAGACATGCATTTCAAACAAAGAGTTGTAGCTCAGTACAGAAGACAGGCAGAAGGGTAGGTGTTCTTTATCACTGACTGGCTGACTTAGGGAATGGTGCTGCCAAGCTGTCCCCAGCTGCTGGGGACAGAGGAAAGCTACTAAAAGGAAATGGGAGTTTATCTGCAGAAGGAATCCAGGTGGGGAGAGTGGGGATTAGTCTACCACAGCAAGTCTAACAGCATCATCCTCATAAAAGCACTGGGAATGTAATGACCAGACAGTCAGGTCCACACAGCTGAAGTGTGACCACAGCAGCAGAAGCAGACAGGCCACTATAAGGGGAAAGGGAGTGAGAGAAGGTGATTTCAAAACAAGCCAGCTCAAGGGCATCTGAAGGAGGGAACTACCTTCAGTGATAGATTACCAGGTTCCCAGCTTCACAGAATGCAGTCTGTACCAGGCAACAAGCAGGAATCACTGAGTCAGAAAGAGGATGGTGATCCTGGAATGCAGTGCTGCCCTGCCAGTTCATTTAAATGAACATCTCTTGGGCCACAACCGCCATATCCCCCTGGAGCTTGTTGCATCAGCTATTCCTAACAAGCTCTCTGCTAGGGTCTAGCCCCACCCAGCCTACTTTCACCTACAGAGCATAATGAGCAAGAGTGAAGGAAACCTGTCATGGTCCCAATGACAGAAGTGGGCACAGGAAATAGACAAAATCACAAAAAGAAAAATCTGTGTGAAAGTGGTGGTTCTTTGTGAGAGGGGCATTTGATAGAGGTGAGCAAGTGAACCAGCTGAGATGGGCTCCCAGTGGCTTACTATTACCATGGTTTTATCAAGCCAAGCCATTTTCTCCTGAAGCTCTGGAGACTTGATGTTGGGGTACGGCATGCCCACCATAACCACACATCTGGAAAGAGAAAGAGAAGCACCCTTCAGTAGCAGTATTAGTGCCTCACCAAAACAAACTGATATGCAAGCTAATTAGAAGGTTCACGTCACTGTCTCTGAAATGCAGTGAACTCTGGAGCTACAGGCAACAATAAAGAGCAGCGGTTTGACAACCGAAAACTGCAGAGGGAACCCAGAGGGAGTGTGCGGGGATTAGTCTACCACAGCAAGCCTAACAGCATTATCCTCATAAAAAGCACTCTGGGAATATAATGACCACAGACAGGTCTCTCAGCTTTATGCTCTGGCTGAAAGGCTCCTTCCGCAAGACAGTGCTTTCCAACACCAAGCTGGGTACACTGATTTTAGCCCAACAATCACACCACTGCCTACAGATCCTGGGGGGGGTGGGGGGCTCCCACCTGCATGCTGACTAGACTCCTTCCTGCTTAGATTAGGAGATCAAGCAAATGCAGCACTAGAGGCTTCTGTTCAGATACTACCTTCTAAGCTGTGCAGCAAACAAGGCATGCACTTACCTTCCCAGGTCATCAGAGAAATTGATTCCCTCACTCATTTTCCCTCCAACCACAGAAAACAGCAGGGCCCCTGTCATGTGGCCTCCCACTTGGCTGCAGCGCTGTGTGAATAAACCCAAGGACTCCTTAGAAACCGAGGCAGAAACTCCTGTGCATCAGTAGCATAGCAAATTGCCATGCCTTAGCCAGAGCACAGCCCCTGCCAACAGTCCACATGACCCATGTTAGCGATGGGTATTTTATCTCCAGCTCCTTGCCAGCTCTGCTTACCTTAATGCACTTGGCATACTCTGCCAGCACCTGCTCCACCTGGTTTGCTCTCTTGGGCTCTTGAAATATCTGTCAAGGGCACAATGCATTCATTGCAGTAAAAAGATGCAAAAAGCTAGGAGGTAGGACTTAACCAGCAGCAGCACAAAACCAAATGAAACACCAGCAGAGGGCACATTGCTGTGTGACCCATCCTTTGCCCTGCCAGATAAGCACTGCAGGCTTGTATCACACTGCTCAGCAGCCACATGACCTAGCAAATCCACCATGGAAGCAGCAGCAGTGACCATCAGTGCATCTAGGGGCATTTCCAGTTATAGAAGCATTAGCCTGGATCCTTGCCCCTAGACCCTAGTGTGTGTGGAGTGTAGAGAAGTGCCCCTATAAGATGACAAAGAGAAATTATGCTCAGGGAATTCAGGTAAAAATGCCTAAGCAACATGGCATAAAGGTGAGAATTCTGAGCTAGGGAAAGCTCTCTGCTGATACTAACCTTGTATGAGTATTGCTTAGGGCAGGGGTGTCAAACTCATCTGCCCCTGTGGGCTGGATAATGTTCTCTGGGCCAGACTGCTGGATCTGGCCACACCAGAGGCAGTGAGCAGAACAGGTCCAGTGGGGCACTGTGTTTGGTGTGCTCCCCATGCTTACCCCATCTCACAGGCAGAACCTGCCAGCTCCACTCTTGAGGCTTGTGCTGCAAGTGGTGCACAAGCTGGGCCCAGCCCTGTGATCACTGCCCCAGCATGTGGTGCCTCAACAGACTAGCCCTGAGCTCTGGTTCCAGAGTCGGTCATGATTGGGTTCCAGGCTGTCCATGTGTGCCACAGCCAGCACACACAGCTTTGCAAGGGGAAACCACATGCAGCGTGCACCCCATGCCGGACCCCTGTACTGCAGGCAGGGTTCAGCCCATGCACTGCAGGCAACACAAGTCCCAAAGCTACAGGCTGGCACATGGTGCACATAGCACCATGTTCTGAACCTGATGCTGCAGGTACTGCTCACAGCACAGGGCCAGCACAGCATGCGCACTGCATGTGGCTGCCCACCAGACAGCCATTCATACTGACTCCAGTCCAGCCTGATCACAGGGTTGGTCTGGCACAGGCACCAGATGCAGCTTGCACCCTGGACCAATTCCTGTGCCACGAGCAGTGTCCACACCAACAGGTCCAGACCACTGCTGCACTGTGCACCTGCCCCCTCCTCCCCCACTGCAGCACCACGCACCCACACAAGTGTTACCATGCTCCCTGACACTCATAAGCTACCACATGCCTGAAACCCCCCCTGCACTTCATGCCCCCAGACTTATTCTCCTCTCCCCAACAGAGTTCTGGTGCAGGCACAGAAAGCTGCAGTCAGAGGAGAGAGGGGGAGCTCAGACACTCCAGCTGCTAATGCAGCCAGAAGGATGGGAGTAGTGGCAGCTGGGTAGTAGCCCAGGGGCCACCACTTAACCCATCGTGTGCTAGAGTATCTGGAAGTAGAGTTTGTTGATGTGCTAAATTAGCAGTAGTCTTTTCTACTGGTGGCAAAGAGAGTTTTCCCTTGATTTCAGTTTATCTGATTACTTAATTCAAAGTTGAAATCCTGACTAGGAGCTGAAAAGCAGCACAGCCTGTTTTCCTCACAAAATCTATGACAAAAATGAGGTAAGGGAGGATGAGATTTACTAGCTCTAAAATCTTGAAGGACATAGTGCTAGAAACACTATTCACTGATGACAGATAATGCTTCCTTTGTTTCCTTTTCAATGTAAACCATGGTTTGATGAACTGTTTTCTTATTAAATAAAACAATTTTAAAATACTGAGTTTGTATGTTTAATTGAGTTTCAGTTTCCATCCAAGTCCAACTCCACACAAATCACAAATAATAAAAAAATACTAAAATTAAGAATCTGAATAAATGTAAGTTAAGTGAGAAAGCTGCTTAAATATGTTTCCTCCAATGAGAATCAGGTCTTTCATTAGAAAAATAACTATAATTGCAAATAAGAAACAAGATTAAGATGGATTATTTAAAACATTAAAATCATCAATTTAAATAAAGCACTCTACACGATCGTATGCAATACAGCTGTGATATTACCAGTCATATAGAAGACAACTCTGATCTCATTCTGTGATGTGATGCTTGTGTGTGTAGAAAGCTCAAAGACATTTACATTTCCTACCAAAGCACTTTGAAAACTCCAATCTAATTTGCTGAGAGCTGCAAGAGCAATTCCCAAAGTTTCAAAACACAAAAGGTTGCATGAATGTCATATAACTCTTCCAAGATGCCAAGAAAACCATTTGGTCCCCATTAAAGTCGTTTCAAAAGATACTGTGGGGTTACAGTAACCAGCAGAGGAATAGAATTGGCCACGCAGTCCTGGTGCATCAACGGAAGAGGAGCTAGCACCCAGCCTGCATGTCAACATGTCTAAGCCAAAGCAGTGTGAAGTTGATTGGTAATTTCAAGAGCAACACTTACCCTACAAAAGCCTCACCACATTTCAACACAACCTAAAGACAGTATGAACTTCCATAATTAAGTTCTGCTGGGTCCCTGCCTCCACCCAAGCAGCACAGGGAAAGCTTAGGACAGCTTGGGGAACAATGTAGGGCAGGACAGGTAACCACTGTTGTATCTATTCCTTCCTTCTTCTATAACACATCTTAAGACCTGCCTAAGACAGATGTGTAATCTAAACCTTCTCCAATGGCTGCATACTAAGTGCTTTGCAATGACTGTAGCATCTTACTTTTGAAGATCTCAGAACACTTCACATTAGTTGAAAGATGTAGGCAAGCATCACCATCATTTTGCAGAAGAGAACCACAAATATCACATGCCTTGATAGAGGTAACACACAATCAGGACTAGAACTCCAAATTTCAGTTATCTGCCCCACACTTGACCCAGATAATCCATACCTCCTCCCAAGAGATTCCATGGAGGGCTGCAAACTTACGTAATTGGTGATGTACAACTGAGCCTAAGACAATCACACTATTCCCTGTTCAGGGGATGCACAGCCAAGTCTGGCAAAAGCAAATCCCCTGTAAAAACTGAACCTGCCTCTCCCAGCAAGGGAATTGGGCAGCACTGTTGGCTGGCAACTGAGGGCAAGTGCTGTCTCCCCACATGACCACTGCAAGGTATCAGTGCTCACAGAAGCCATACAGCAGCATTTAATCTAAATTAGATCCCAGCTCGGTGATCAGCCGCCCGGGAAGTATCATTTATTCATTACTGGAGGGATTGGCTAGATAAACATCTGCTCTGCTCCGCTGTGCAGGGTATGAGAACAACTCCAAGAGGCAGGCCTGTAATGTGCAGATAATTGTTTGACTTTTGAAACCTCCATTTAAAGTACTAACCGCCCCCAGCATCACAATTACCTTCTTCTTAGTAGCCAACCGGGTGAGAAGCCCTGTTCCTTCCCAGTGCGTGTACACCTGCTTCTCATACTCATAGGAAGGAAAGAAGCACACCACGCCACCAGGGACCACATTGCACAGGTTACAAAGGATTCGACCCGCCTCATCCATCTGAGAGAGAAGAATGGCCACGTCACACTCAGTGCAAGCTCCGGTAAATACAAGTCTAATCCCAGAGTCCCACCCCTGCCAGAGGACATGCAATTCTCACTGACAAGCTGTAACTTCCAATGGCTACTTCCAGATTAAAAAAAAAAAATCCGTGTAAAATGTACTACTTCTGAGAAAACTCCATAGAGGGACTGCCCGACTCAAGGGGCCAGGAATGAACATGCAGCTTCATTACCTGGCCTCCCTTTGTGAACCCTAGTCCGAGTGGTAGCTGCAAAGCAAAGGCAGCTTTATGAATTGTGTGGGGAGATGTTGGTCCATTTCCTAGTGGGCATGTGTCCATGCGGAATGACAGAGGTAACTCCATATCGGCTGGCAGTCAACAAGGACCAACTAGGCCTGGAGTCTGATGGTGCACTTCTACTACCCCCTCTAAGACAAAGACTGGAGAAACTTCTATAGTTACCACATGCACTATGTGTACATCACTCTCCACAGTTGTCACACCACAATCTTGCATCGTTGCAACACTCATGTAACACACCCAAAACATGTCACTCCCACAGCAGTATGACCACATCACAGCAGAATAAAGCACTCATCTCCCCACTCTGTGATGTGCCTACACATTGGAAAGTAAATCACGTTTGCTTCACTTTGCAGTCTGACTGCTCCTGAAACCCTTGAATGGGATCCTCCCTACCAGTCTGCACTCTTCTGGAACGCCCTTGTAGCAGGGTGGCTGACAAAGGATTGCAGCAGACTGCACACACTCGACTATAGCGCTCTGGTGGCTTGCAAAGGCTACAGCCCCCCTGCAGGCAGTAGACACTGATTGCAGGCTGCCTCAGCAGACTGGGCCAGCTGAAGTGAATGACTGGCTAGCCACAAGAAGCTAAAAGGCTCCCAAGGGAAGGGAACTAAAGGAAATTCTACCAGGGGGACACAGCGAGAGATGCAAAGAGAGAGGTAGTTAGGCTCCTGGGGAAAGGAACCAGAGAATGAGAACTGAGAGCTGAGAATTCGGTAACAGAAAGTGAGAAACAGAGAATGAGGGACAGATACAGCCAAACAGAGAGAGCAGAGTCAGACAGTCAAAAGGTTGCTTGGCCAGCAGCTACAATGCCAAGCCAGGGACTCTTGGGGTCTGGGAAGAGACCTAGGGCTGTGAAATTGAAAGCAGCAATACCATGACAGGGAATTCACCCTGAGGAAGAGGAGGATGACTGCCGTGTGGGAAAAAAGCAACAAGACAGTGGGAGGCACCCTGTCAGGGTCTGAGAGACCCTTTAAGGACTGTGAATGCACCCTTTGCGGACTATGTGAAGGTTGTGTTGTTGAGTATGGACTTGTGAGTAAGAGGTTTCTGGTGAGGCAGTGGGCCCAGGAAGTAAAGAACTGTGAATTATTAAAGATTATTTGAGCTAATTATCCCCAAGCCCTGCCCTACCCTTGAAGCTCCTGAATTCTTCCCTTTATCCCCTTGGAACATCAAACCATGTGAATTAAACAGAAAACCAGGGAGGAACAAAGCAGAAATGCTGACCATCTGAGGCTGGTCTCTCTTCTGATATGTGAACTCTAGCTGCTGGTTGGATGGTCCACTGCAGAGGATTATGGGTAAAATGTTTTCTGGAGGAATCACATGACCTGTGGACAAACAAGCAGACAGCAAGAAAGCTTTGTTCAAACAAAGCCAGACTGTAAGACACAACCACGTAATGGCACCACTACCCATTGATCTCTTGGTCTGGGGAAGTCTAAGCAGGTTTAGCACAAGGCCCTCAGAGCTCATGAGTCACATCAGCCTTAGATGGTCACAATCAGCCCCCAGCTTTTTTTGCAGAAAGCCTACTCTACTGGCTAATGCTAGTCAGGGTCACAACATCCAACTCAGCCAGAAGGGAAGAGGAATCTGGCTCCCACAATCTACAACTTCCAGGCAAGATATTCTTTCTGGTCACTAGAAAGAAACGCCCAAGTCAGTGGCACTGAACACCACTGCAGTAAAACTAGCGTTCCAGAGAAGTCAGGTGCCCTCCACTGACACTTACCACAGGAGAACTCCACCACCCTGTCAGCATCAATGCCAGCACACGACAGCAACTGCTCTCGGAAATCAGCCACCTATAAACCATAAACCAAGGACAGTCAGCAGAGCCCAAGCACTCTTAGCATGTGGGCAGGACCCATGGCAAGGCTCCAACCAGCACAGGTGTGAAGGACCAGGTGCAGTGGATGGGGGAGATAACAAAGAGGAGGCAGAGGAGCCAGACCAAGAGCCTAAGAAAGAGGACCAATGGCGGGGGGCATGCTGAAGCGTGTAGGGAAGACACAGGAGGGACACCAGCCCACTAACTGCTAATGCAGACTTAGTGAAGGGGCACTTGGAGGGGCTGGATGTGCTCAAATCAGCAGGCCAAATGAACTTCATCCAAGGGTGCTGAAGGAATTGGCCAGTGTCATAGCAGAGCTGCTGGCACAGCTGTTCGAGCACTCATGGTGCTCTGGTCAGGTCCCAGAGGACTGGAAAAGTGCCAGAGTGGCCCCTATTTTCAAGAAGGGGAGGAGGGAGGAACTGGGAAACTATTGGCCAGTTAGTCTCACCTCTATCCTCGGGAAGATTCTGGAAAAAATCATTAAGGATCACATTTGTGGGAGCCCAGCCCAGGAAATAATGCTGAAAGGAAATCAGCATGGATTCATTGCAGGTAGATACTGCCTGAGTAACCTTATTTCTTTTTATGAACAAGTCACAAAATGCTTAGACACAGGAGTCAAGGTGATGTCATTTACCTAGACTTTAAGAAGGCCTTCAATACAGTATCGCATTCTGTTCTTGTAAATAAACTGACAGGCTGTGATATAGACGATTACACGGTCAGGTGGGTAGCAAATTGGCTTAGGGGTCACACCCAGAGAGTGGTGGTGGACGGGTCGATATCAACGTGGAAAGATGTGGGCAGTGGAGTCCCGCAAGGCTTGGTCCTTGGACCGGTGCTATTCAATGTCTTCATCAGTGACTTGGACGAAGGCATGGAGAGCACCCTTTCCAGGTTCACAGATGATACCAAATTATGGGGCAAAGTTAACACACCAGAGGCTAGGTAATGGATCCAGGCGGATCTGGACACATTGGAAAAATGTACAGAATGAAATAGGATGCAGTTCAACAAAGACAAGTGCAAAGTGCTGCACCTGGTCAAAAAGAACCACCAACACACTTGCAGGCCGGGGGGTGACCTTCTCAGCAACACAGCAGCGAAAAGGGATCTTGGAGTCGTAGCTGACTCCAAGAGGAACATGAGTCATCAGTGTGACAAAGTGATCAACAAGACTAACCGCACTTTATCATGCATTAGTAGACGCATGACAAACAGGTGCAGGGAGGTTATGCTCCCCCTCTATGCGGCACTGGTCAGGCCACAGTTGGAGTACTGTGTCCAGTTTTGGGTGCCGCACTTCAACAGCGATGCAATCTTGAGAGGGTTCAAAGGAGGGCCACTCGTATGTTCAGAGGCCTGCAGGAAGGCCCTACGAGGAGAGACTGAGGGACCTAGATCTCTTCAGCCTTCGTAAGAGAAGGCTGAGAGGTGATCTTATGGCTGCCGATAAATTCATCAGGGGAGGGCAGCAGGGAACAGGAGATGCTCTATTTACTAAGGCACCCCCTGGAGTAACTAGGAACAATGGCCACAAATTGACAGAGAGCAGATTTAGGTTGGACATTAGAAAGGAGATGGCATCCAAGGGAGGTGGGTAAGAGGAGACTGGACAAGCACCTACCTGGGGTCATCTGACCCCAGCGCTCTTTCCTGCCCAGGGCAGGGGGTCAGACTCAATAACTTACTGAGGTCCTTTCCAACCCTAACATCTATGAATCTATCGGTGTAAAGCAGAAAGAAAGGACTTGATTACTGCATGTGAGGCCTGACACAACTGCAATGCACAGCAATGGGGGCTTGGTCAAGCAGAACTAAGGTTCCACAGCCAGCACAGCTCAGGCTGCAACTGAAGTGTCTCTAAACACTTTGGACAGGTCCCACGGCAGGGCAAGGGAGCCATTTGTTCCTAAATAAGAAAGCAGCACATCCACACAGCATGGCAAAAATGCTGCAGCCAGCCACCTCCACTGCTTCCCACTGCCTGGGCCACTAAAGAGCAGCAGTGCCTCCATGTGGTCACACAGCTCATTTGTGTAACACCTTTCAGACAAAGCCAGACAGTCTCTATACTGGTGTTGCCAGAAAGGCATTCACCCCAAGCCTTCCAGGCTCTGGCAGCCTATCTCACACTCCTCTCCCCTCTGCTTTATACTCCTGAGAGTAGACTGTACTCCTTCAAGCTAGCTAGTTAAAACAACAGGAAAATACCCAGAGCAAGTCTAGATACCCTTCTTGCATTATCTGTGCAGCATTCAGAGGAATACCTCACCATCTTTATAATGCTGCATCTGTTTGTCTTTTATAAAAACTATGCAATGTCTCCCTGATGTATCAGCCAGCACAGACTGAACCAAATCACCAAGATCCCAAATCTCCCAGGAGCTAGGCTTATGCCAAGAACCTTAACAAATCCATAAATGGGGTTCACAGGAGCTACAATAAGAACTATGACTACAGCATGTTTCAGGTTAGGCTGAGGATATGAATTTCCCAGGACACCATAAGATAACTACTATTTTACTGAACAGAGACCCTGTATCCAGCATCACCCTTCCCTTTCCTCATCTGCACAATAGCAAAATAAGACATTTCAGATACTGCAGGAACCAAGCACCACATGCACTAGAGGTGCCCTTGAGTAGTGGGGCTCAATCTTTTGGCCCTGTGGGCCAAATGAGTGGCATGGTGCCCGTCCATAGGACCAGCACCTGAACTGGGGCCCACACTGCCTCACCAGGCCCCATGCACCCAATATAATCTACACAGCAAGGCTATCCAGCCTGCAGGACCCTGCAAAGGTCCAGAAGTTTGGCAGCAGGGGAGTAACAATTAAGGTTGAGTAGCAATAAAGGTTGCCCTGTTCCCCTGCCACCACATTTTTTAAACCTATGGGAAGCTCTGAGAGCCAGATGACATGGCTCTTTGGGCCAAATGGGTTGAGTGCCTCTACCCTAGAGCAATGGGGTCCAACCTTTTTGGCAGGCATGCCACAAATTAACCCAGCACCCTCTCTGGTCCCCTTCCTGTGTCCCATCTTCTCCCCCAATTTCTGCTCCCTGTCTAATCTTTGGCTCTACTTTCTGCTTCTTGCCCTATCAGCTGCTACACTGCTTCTGTCCACTCCCTGATCTGTGACATGCCCCACATGGAAGTTGTGCTACTTGTGACACACATGCCACAGGGTGGTCACCCCTGCCTTAGAGCAGGAGTGTCAAACATCCAGCCCACAGACCTGCTCCATCTGGCCTGCCAGGCTACTGAGTGACAACCAGAAGTCAAGAGACATTGCCAGGGGGAGTGGCCTGCTACAGAATCTGGGGCCTCTGGGCCCCAAGGAACGTGGCAACTGGTGGCAGGAGAGAGACCAAGGGCTGATACAGCTCGTCGCCCTCCAGTTACTTCACCTATCGCTACTGCCGCAGTCCTTCCTGTTTGGCTACCAGCCCCACCGCCACAGTTGGTTTCTCCAGGCCCCATGCCAGAGCCAAAGTCAGAGCCACAGCCACTAAAATGGCATGCAACAGTGTCCACAGCTCTGCTGCTGGGCAGACACCCAAAGCTGGAGCTGTTGTCACTGCATGCTGCAGGTGGATCTGTCCCACAAGGAGCCCTGCAGTCTGAATGCAGCCTTGGGCACAAGGTGAGACTGACACTCCAGCCCTTGAGTTTTCAGCTCCATCTCCTATCCCTTCAATAAATATTGACTACCAAAAGCTCCAGCTAGGTAAATGCTTGCACCTGATTTGCACTAACCATAGGAAAACTCATAAGTAAATTAGCTAAAATAAGATGTTTGGGCACGAACAGTGACCAGGCAAACCCTCAATCTGTGCTCCCCCATCTGTAAGCAACTGGGGACATATGAGATTGTATCTCTTCCTAGAATCAGCATCTAAAAATGATGGGGGAGAGGGGCTACAGACAAAAGCCTAACACAGATGAAGCAAAAGCATCCTATTTTCATTCTGCCCATTTCCACTAAAGCATTACTGAAAGATGCTTCTGGCAAGATCACACAAGTCAAACCAAGAGGACTCCTATCCATGCTGGGATTAAGCAGAGGAACAGAATCAGACTGTGTTCTCAAAGAGCAAACAGATGCCAGGAGGGCTGGGAGAGTTGGCTAAGGATATCCCGCCTTTGCATCAGGTCAACTTGTCTCAAATTGAAAACCCACACCAAGGAGTTAACACATCAGGGCTTGCAAGGGGTGAAAAAGCTCTTCTTCCCACTGCAGTGGTAATGACATTAAATGGGGAAATTAATTGAAATGGGGTCACAATGAATGGCCCTAGTGTCTCCCAGCACTAAGAAGCAGATGTTAAAATCTTCCAATTGTATCAGCCATCTATCTCTTCCCACTGCTGCCACGTGTTAGAAGGTGCCAGAAAGACCATTTAGAGCTTCAGATAGCAGACTTCTCCCTTACCGGTTGCATGGTGCCCCCTGCAATGATCACAGCTCGGCATTCCTTCACCACTTTGGCAAAATGTACGGCAGGGTTCAGCAAGAGGAATTTGAAGCTGCTCTGACTTACAGTGCCTGAGTAAGGAGACAGATGCATAGATAAGAACTGGCTGCAACTAACCCGAAATGCCTGATTTGGATGCAGACACGCTTGTGGATAAGTAAGAGATTTGCCCTCTCCACACCCTAACAAATCCCCAGCCCAGTAAAACAATGACCTATTATTAAGTCTTAGAACACCACATAGAGCTTAAAAAATTGACAGCAATAGGTTGGAGATTGCCTCCTTTCTCCCAAACCCACCGACTCAGGGGTGGCCAACCTGCAGCACACACATGACACAAGTGGCACAGGCAGCCTGCATGTGGCACACGGCAGATTGAGAAGGGGACAGACAGCACAACAGCAGACAGGGCAGGAAGCAGAGCAGCTAATCAGGCATAGAGCACAGAGCAAAGAACAGAAAGCAGAGCAGAAAACTGGAGAGGGAGCACAGGGCAGGGAGTAGAGAAGAGTGGTAGGCCAGGTAGAGGAAAGGAATCAGTGACACTAGGGAAGGGTGCATGGCTAAAATTTGTGGCACACCTGACAAAAAGGTTGGCCCCTATTTTAGGAGTCTTTAAAAAAGACACCTTCAGGCCTCACAACCCCATCACTCCATAGACCCAGAAGTAGAGAACTCCCCCCTGTTTTTTAGCCTCATGGCCACTTGGGTCCAAAAGCAAGGTGGAAACTGCAAACTGTCCTCAAAGACAGAGGCCTTCCACTGCCTAATCACTTAATAGTGGTACATCCATTAGCCCAGCTCCTCTGGTAAGAGAAAATCCCATATCCAGAGCGGGAGCAGAATGCTGCTAACCCATTCAATCCTTCTAAATCCTTTCAATTCCCAACTGCATCACCAAGTAGGTCAATCTGCCAAAGTTTCTCCTGAAGATATCCCACTCTTGCTGCGTGCTTCACCCAACTGTTATCTTGTTGCCAGGTCCAAAACAGGTTGAGGACATGCTCTGAAGAGTAACAGACAGCCCCTATCCTGAAATCTACCATCTAATTATACTTGGATTTCTAAGTCACCATCAATACAGAACCTAGGTGAGATCTGGTGGTTTTACCCTGATGTTGCCCTTAACTCTTCTCCACCAAGCATTACCCTTCATTCCAGTACCTTGCCTGTTGAGGATGACTCTCCCATCTTGGTTTGCATTGGTGAGAGCAGAGAGAAATCCCTCAATATGCATCAGAGGAGAGGCCATCTTGAGCTGATCAATCTCAGGATCTGCAGGAGGATGTGGCGGAGCACCTATTGGTCAACAGAGGCAGAGAGAGGAGCTAGCCAATCAAAGCTTTATCTCCATTCCCAGAGGAGTCAGAGCTATAGCATACATGTTAGTTCAGATATCATTTACCTATGAAAGGCCAAACCCATTCTGCAGCAAAAAGAACCAGTAAAGAAAAAAGCTCATGTTTTACCAGTCTCAATTCATACTCCTCTCTTACTTCACTGGTTTACTAGGGGCATGTTTTCCCTGCAGACTGTAGTGCTGTGTAAAGATAACTGAGCTAGCTCAGGTACTGGAAGGAGACAAGAGCTCAGGCTCAAATAGAGCAGAGCTACCCTAAAATAGCTTCTGCCACAAGTCTTCCCCTCCCAGAGATATGTCTCAATTTCTCCCTTGTCCCAGCTAGGGGCTGGTTCTGCAGCCACGTTTCCTTGCCTCCCCCTGAGAAGCACAGTATCTGAATTCACCTTCTTTCTCAGGTCCCTGCTGCAGGGTCAGAAGGAAGTTCTGCAACCCAGTTGTCTTCTGGTTCTCCTTGTTGGTCTTTACAGCAGTAGGGGCTCCATATCTCTCCACAAACCCAAAAAGCTGACAAAACAAAATGGAAAAGGTAAGAGGCTCTAAGGAAAAAGACCCAGGACACACCACACACACACAAGCAGCATTTCACATTCAGATTCTAACTATCACAAGTCAGACAACATGGCAGGCCTTGGTGCTTCCCAGTTCTTCTCCCACACTCCTTCCCACCCTGGAATCAAAACTACAAGCTGGCAGTGCTTCCCCCTCCCATGCTGACCAGCCACTGAGGGTGACATGGTTGTCAGAGCAAGAAGCAGTGCAATACTGGCACTGTGCTAGCTTCATTGCACCATGAAGACTGCACAACCTGCACACAGGAATACGTGCAGGGGATTCACACCTGGAGGGTAAAGCAAAAGACTTATAACCGTGTGCCCCACCGCTGTGCTTCTTCCACATCAGTGCCCCACCACCACACATGCCAAGCTGCCATACTGACTAAGGAGCAGTGAGGACAATACCTTCCGGCTGATGAGGCTTTTCTCACAGTAACGCTGAACCTGGAGGAATACAGAGAAGCAATGACAACTCGGCACCTCCTTTTCCATCCAGCTGTCCTAGGCTCAATGTCTCTGCTGAACCACCATAACCTTACCCCATTACTATTTTTACCTGTCACTCTTCCAACAGTACTTCTGGGAGAGGGTATCCAGTGTGGTGACAATGACCTATGTGAGCTGTACCTGTCAATGTTCGCACCTAAACTGCTTTGGGTTTCAGAATACGGAATTCCTTATATTTAAAATATCACTCATTAGCCCATCCTTTAACACTCCAAGGAATCCCATACATGCAATCTTGCTTCCCCACAGACAGCTCCTCTTGTGTACTGCTGTTTCGACTAGAGATCTGCTCCCCCAATCGAGCTTTAGCATTCTGCCATCCATAAATACCACATAAAAGAACATCTCCTAAGACAGAATAGCAAACTAGAAAGGTGTCCCCAAGAAAACAGGCTGACATTATGGGCCAAGTCAGGAGATAAGGGTTTTATTTCCAGTTTCCTGTGCAACTGAGTAATTTGTTTGCCTGTCTGCCCTCATAGAAGACAATCAAAACACTACCTTAAAGAGGTTGATATTGTCAATTTGACTTTGAAACAGAAAATCGTTGATAGATTTTAGCTCTGTCCCTGAAAGAAAAAGAAAATCATTACCTGTAGGACTTACGGAGTTTCACCCCACAAACCCATCTCCCTAGTCTGCTCAAGGCAGACAAAGCATTCACATACACTTCTTACCTGCCTGGGAAATGCTCTGAGTGTTTGGATTTTGATTCACGTTTCCTGCAAAACATAAAAGCTATTCAAGGCAAAGTGAATAGCAATGGGTTTGTCTGAATTGAAGCAACATACATAAATGGGCTCAAAGGGAATGCAGTGCCAGCACTGAGGCTGCTCAAGAATTTATTGTCCTTTCCCCATAGAATAATTCTACATTAAAAGGACAAGTGTTCTCTTGCATCCCTGTAAAACACTGTCTGCATTACTGCTGCACAGGGAGAAGGCAGGTAAGCAAGTACATACAAATACCAACACAGCTTTTGCATGATGAATGCTAAGGGACACTGACTGCAAAGTCCTTTCTTACACAGGCATTTGGTGACCTGCCTAGACAAAACAATAGGGAGCTGCAATGTGTATGGACAGTCAGGTAAAGGGGCACCAGTTCTTCCCATAGGCTGCTGACAGACAAAACTAGGTTAGCTGCCGCCATTGACTTTATTTCCTATTTCTAGTATTTAATTCCCAACTGAAGCTACACAGCTTTGTAGCCTAAATCAAGAAACTACACACATTGTATTTCCTGATGGACACATTTAACCAAGGGGAAGGAGAAATACAAGAGGAATATAGGGATAACAGGGGGGCGGGGAGTAGAGCACAAGAGGAGGAAAAGAAAGAAAAAGGGAATAGAAAGTGGAGAATTGCTTCTTCTCAATGATGACAATGATGGGCTCTCTACAAAAGGCAGAGGTTACCTTCAAGGCACATTTGAGACCAAGTGCACAAACAGAAAGAAATAAAAAAGCAATCAGGTGGTCTACAGATACAAGAAAATGAGTATGCCTCAAATGAAGGAAAGGCAATATTCAGAAGGAATACACTTTATCATCAAGTGTTTGTCAAGGCAAAAGGGCCTCACTGATGACTAGTCCAGGAATGCTATTCTATATGGGCTCTCTGGCTGTAGTAACCACCTGTCATCCTGTCACCATTAATTCCCCCTACCATTTAAAGTCAAAGCTAAGAAACTGGAATTATAGGGACCATGACCATTCTCCTTTTGACATCCAGCACAAACTGCTGCCAACCTAACCAGGTTTACATAGATTTAACATTAATCCAGAACTTATGAAATAGGTTGATAAAAATTACCAGATGACTGAGTTAAGATATAAGAAGCCACCACTGCAAAGGCCAGAGGGAGAGATGATGGGCAATTATATTTAAGAAGAATCAGTTGGCTCAGAGTCTAGTGACATTAACAGGAATGGAAGCTTTCTTACCTCCCAACACAGACACAAACCTCTCCAGCAAATACAGGATCTGTTTAATGTACATCAAGTTCTTTGCTTTCAGACGTTTCCTATGAAATAGTTAATGGGTGTCAGGCCTCAGAGACATCCACAGTGACTACAGTCCACACAGTTTCCTAAATTCAAAAAACAAGCAGCCAGGCTGATACAAACTCCACTCCTTCATTATGGAGAAACTGGAACCAAGACCAATTTCTCCTTGATGGTCTTGTCTGTTACTCCTAACCACACTATTCACAGATGTCAATCACTGACATACTCCAGGGCTTTCACTTCAACCCCCCAAGGGTTTAACAGCTTTAGCACTGATCGTCTCCTCTCACACTAGTTATGAGTAATCTGTCTATATTGCAGTGATGCCTAAAAGCTCAACCGTATCAAGTGCTAGGGAAATACAGAATAATTAGTGATATATGAAATAAACAACTGCATCAGCCATGACTAGTCTGATGCAAAGTTTGGCTACTGCTGTTAAACTGCATAAAACTGCTATTTTAGAACTCATAAGAATTCACTGTTTCAGTCATGAAGGCAGCTGGCATATAAAGGGTCAAAGCTCAGAAGGGAAGTGAGAAAATGAAAACTAGAGTTTTTGGAACTTCATGCAGCTACAAAACTAGTGAGTAGGGACATATTGGGAATGAATTTAAGAGGATCAGGAAGTGCCATTAACCCCAAGAAGTTACCATCACTGTGCATATACCAGCCTGGGGAGTGAGACTTACAAAGCTACTAAGAACAGATAGTGGAGTAGCGCTCTCATCTATGAGAAAGTCAGTGCAAACACCTCCCACATACGGAAAGCAAGACAAGACCCCACCCCACAAATTATTGTTCTCATGGTGCTGGCCTCCTCATAGATCCTCACCTGTATCGTTCCATGTACTGCAGCAGCTGGGAATAGGCACAGCACAGCTACAACAAAAGTAAAGACCTGGAATTAAGTTATTTGTGCCACTGCAAATGGCAGTCTACACAACTCAACAGCAGGTATCAGAACACCAACTTCCAGGTACCAACTCACCTGAGAGCCACTGACTTCAGCGCTGTAGATGCAGGTTATAGTGTCTATCAGATTGTGGGCTTCGTCAATAATCACCACCTGATCCTTCAGTTTGATCCCAGAGGCATTTCGTGTCGACTCATGCAAGAGCATCTGATAGGGTAACACCACCAACTGCAGGCAAAACCCAAGCCAACTTAACTCTTCTACTTTATTCCTGTGAACACCTATAAGCTCTTTCCAACCATAAATCTCAAAAAGTTTTGCAAGAGTGGGTAACACTATTCTTTTATTAGAAGTGGGAAAGACAAAAGTAGAGAGATCCTATAGAATCGGTTCAAGATCACACAGCAAGTAAAAGGCTGAGCTGGTAGCACCACTTTTGTCTTCCAACTATCTGTCCCAGGCTTTAACTATAAAATCTGCATTCAGCCCCAGAGGATTTACAGCACCACTTCAAATCCTCTCTGGAATACTCCTATGCTAATATCATGTTTCTAGGCACTATGACACGCATCCAGGATGGTATCCTACAAATCACTATATACAAGACCCACAGACCAACACACTTATGTCCACAAAAACAGCAACCGTCCCAGACATGCCCAGAAAGCTGTAATTTATAGTCAGACCCCAGATATCACTGCATCTGCCAAGATTAAAACTCATGACACCCATCTCACTAAACTGAAAACTGCCCCTACTCAGTTAAGAGACTCCAACAGAGAAACAGACTGTATCTTTGAATAGGCCACTCAAATACTCTGCAGTAACCTACTACAATACTAAAGGAAAACCCTCAGTGACCACACATACCCCTAATTGTCACACACCATCCCACACTGGAACCTAAGAAGGAGTATCAAACAATTACAGCCTATACTTCCAAAAAAAATCACACCTTGAGAGAAATATTCTCAACCCTCCTGGGGCTCCTGACCTTCAAACAACCCCCAAATCTGGTCCCAGCTCATCAGAAGCAACCCCCCTGGAACAACACCAAAATGAGGCACGACCCTGCCTTAACAATAAATGCAAAACCTGTCAACACATCTCCATTGCTGCTACAATAAACACTCCCCACCACAAAATCATCAGAATCCATAGATCCTGTATATATCTATCACAGAACATGGTATATCTCATTCAATGCACCAAATAACCTCAGGGAAGTTACACATGGGTGAAACCAGATGAAGTCTATGTTCATTCTGGTGCAATCACAGGAATATAAAGGATAAAGACACACAAATACTCTTGGCAGGACACTTTTCAAAGAATCATTACTCACATCTGACCTCACAATCCTTTTGTTCATGGGAAATCTACAAAACACCTTCAGAAGATGGGCCCGGACACAAGAATTCATAATCTTATTGGATACTAAAAACATGGGACTAAACACAGACAACAAACAGCTTTATGGCTCATTGCAATCCACCTGCTACCTCTGCTAATCTCCATGGTACTCCACAGGTAATAACAACCCTTATCCTTCTTGAAAGGTCTTGCTCTTCCACTAAATAGGTCATATATTCTACCAAGCTTCATTTGCTTTGTAGCCACCCCTCATAAACATTTGTTCTGTAGCCACTCTTTGCTCCTAGTCTGCACCTTTGAAATAAAGCATTTCATTTTGTTACTCTGACATTAACCTCTCTGAACCACAGCAGCATCTCATGACCCCGTTTCTACCTGGTCTGGATTCCTCAGACATCTCCCATGATTCTCTTAAGCTTTCTTCTCCTGACCTCGCATCTTGGGAGTCCCACTAACATGGAGCGTCATGAAAGACACAGTCCTAACAGGGACTCTGCCCCATAACAGAGAAAAGCAGCATGAGGTATTTGAACTACATCTCTTATAGGCACTGTGGCAGCTCAGGTGGACATGACAGATTAATGGTGAAACAACTCAAAATATTTCAGTCAACACACTGGAAAGGGAATGTTTTGATCTGCAATTGATATGAAGCATTTTAACATTCCTGAATGCAGAGCAAGAGATACACAGCCATTTCCCAATCTAAATTTTTGGTCCAAGAAGTCTCAATATACTAGTATTCATTTTTCACCCCAAATCAAGACAAAAACATGTAGGGAAATATTAGAGTTCATGTAATGGAATTATAGTTTTTCAATCAGCCCTAGTTTGCTGAGGCAGAAAAAGCATTCCACTTTCCAGCTCTTGGTTTAGTTACTAGGAAACCTAAAGAATGGAGCATTAGAGAGCACAGGTAGGCAATTTATTTTCAAGGGTATTAGAGCTACTTCTCAACAGCAACCTTTATCTCTCACCTGGGCAGCAGGAATGGCATACCGACTTCCATAATATGGGCAGGCTTTGGTCTTCTTCCCCAAGGTCACCAGCTGCTCAATATCTTTCACATCAACTAGAACTTCATCCCGAAGAAATTGCATTTGCTCATAGGAGTAAAATGGACACACAGCCCGGCTCACACGCCTTCTCTTCCCTGCTGTCTCTTCTCCCTCATTCTTCTTCTCTGAGGACAGGAGTCAGAAAAGAATCACAAGTGACAGCAATCCATACACGAGAATTAAGAACAATTACTTTCCACCTTTATAGACTTTCATCCATCCAGCTAACCACCCACTACCAACCTGGTGCATTTACAGAGGGACTAGTAATTTAGCATTCAGGCACTGAAGAGAAAATTAAGACTCAGACTTGCAACAGACTCTGCTCTTACCTTTTCCTGGTGCCTAAATCTAGTCATTTTCCCTCTTTCCATTTTTCACCTCACCCCACCAGCATTATACAGCTTCTGTTATCGTCACAGCAAAACTTCACAGTCACCTGCCAAAATGCACATGCTTGGACTCCTCAGTACTAGCATCAAGTTACAAAGACCAGCACCTTCCATTGTGAATGTCTCCTCTACGGCACAGATTTAGAGAATTCAGGAAGCACTAACATTTTGAAAGGACCAGTGCCCTTGAGCTGTACGGAAAGAAAAGTTGCTGCCCTCTCGTTCATTTCCTCTGGCACTATCCTTTCACTAGCTTCTCTCTGCAAGCTTTTAAAGCATTTCTAGTTCTTTTGAACTGCAGTGGCAGAATGCTATGAAAGCCCAGCCTCCATCCCTGAATTTAACCACTGCACTTTTCTTTTATATGCCATTCAGCTTATCACCATGGCATCCTTAGTTTGCTGCAGTCAGTTCCAGGCAGGCAGTTTCCAGAGAACACGACCAGCCAATTAAAACAAAACAAAACCAAACAAAACATAAAAGCATCACTGCAGGCAACATTTGCAAAAGCCACCAAGTATTACTAACTTCTAAGTGGGGCAGAGGCTTGTACCTCACTTGTGTGCTTTTGAAGTTATTCTCCCAAACTGTAAAGTACTAAACTCTAAGGACAGGTGGTGTGGGGAAGATAATCAAAACCCACAGACCAAAAGCCTCAGTTCCTAAATAAAGCTAGTTTTCTAGCAGGGGTCAAGAAGAAGCTAACTGACACATTCCATGTGGAGCCAGTAAATTTGGAAGCGTCTCCTGACTCCATGCAGGGGTGCCTTGGCTCTTAATCTATCCTTCTGCTACATGATTTAAGGTCCAGAGAAAACCTTTAGGAGCTGAGGAAAATCCTGTTGAGTCTTCAGTATGGAGCCATGGTGAGTGGTGGAGGGTATCCTTAAAGAAAAGCTGTCATCAGCGGCCAAGCTGTGAACAGGTCTAGAAAGCCAGGTCTGACTTCTAGTCCCTCCTCTTAACTATTTTACAAGTCTTTTCTCCCCTGTCCTTTCAAAACCTATGAGGTCCAGCTGGAGATGACCATCTCTTACCCTGAAACAAGCATTCATAAGACACAGTCCATATAGCCCTGCTCATAGGGTACAAGGCAGCAATTGCAGAAAGTTTCCTGTATCCTACATGTGCTGCTTCCTCAACAGCCAGACAGAGGGCACTGCACTTTTGGCAGCTGATGTTTCCCTAGTGTCCCAGGTCAAGAAGTGCTCATACCATGTTTGTTTTTTTGCATCTCCATGCAGCGGTCATTGATGAGCTGGACAGCCCCCAGACGTCGTACCTCTTCATTCACACACAGGCTCTGGGACAGAGACAAAGTGAAAACTAGGACACCCCCTCTCACTTTTAATTTACTGTTTTCTGCACAGCCATCAGTCTACTACACAAGGCTAACCCTGCAGTATGTGTGATGATTCCAGGTGTCCACAGCACGTTTTACTAGGGGACACTATTAAAAATGATCCAATTCCCTGCAAAATAACTTACAAACAAGCAGTAAAAGGTGCCCCAAGATGCTCCATGCTTACATCTAGGGGCCTGGGGGCCCCCTAATAGAGAAGGTGTAATAGCTAATACCAAAAGCAAAACAATAAGCGGCTTTCCTAACATGTCTGGGCACATGTGATAGCTCCAACTTAGAAGAGGAAAGCAAGACTACTGAACGAAGTCAAGGGGGCCAAAGCACAAACTATGGGAAATGAAGCCCACGCAGTTCTGCAGCATGGATCATGGCTGCTCTAATTTTTAATTAAAATGTTCAGTCCCTGGATCATAGGTTTCAGAGGCACAAAACCCTTAATGCAAGTGTCCTGATGACTGCTGTAGGACACAAAGGTACCCTAACTTATGCTATCAATTAAAAAAAGATTAGAATAGCTACTATCTGCTTCATTGTGGGGAAGCTGGACAAATGGTTGCCAATGCCACTTTTGACTGGACTAGTTTGTCTTCCCCAGAAAGAGCCAGTCTCACATATCTTGTTTTCCTGGGCACTTACTCATACATAACACATATTACAGGATTTCAAAGCTGATGCTCTCTTTGTGAAAGAGCATTTCAGTTTCCTACAGAGCACCTTAGAGTGCTGCATACCTGCCTAGATCCCAGTGACACCAATCGGGTCTCCTTGCCAAAAGGACTTTTCTGAACTTCATGTACAAACTGAGACAGCTGCGAGTGTGTGCGACTGCAGTAGTAAATCTGTGGTGTAAAAAAAGAACAGCCGTAGAAACACAAATGAAGCCAATCTCCTTCCCTCCAGCCATCCTTCTAAAGGAAGGACAAGCAGCCCATCATCACTCAAGCCTTCACTAACACAAGGTGGGGCATACTTGGAGGCATTAAGAGGATTTAACAATCATGGAACTGTAAAACAGTTCTACCCATTGCCTTCTTCCTTCCCAGAGTTTTATTTGAAATGTATTGTAAAGGCCTGCAACAACAGGGACACCTACAAGAAGGACAAAGCGCTAAAACAAAAACAAAAATCAAGCCATCGTCATAAGCACATGGAAGTGCAATGAACAGCTCAACCAATTTTCAGAGGAGTCTTTTTGTAGCACCTTTGGCAAGGGCTAAACAGAAGAACGTGGCAAGGAGAACATCAGAGCCTCACATACCAGATGCACAGGTTGCCAATAATGACAATGGGATATTTTAACAAAGCATTTACTACCTTGTGCTTGAAATCTGCTTTCAAAGGCTGAGCCAGTCAAGACTAGCAGATTGTTGTGTTATCACTATCAATATGAATAAAAAAAAGAGGGGAAAAAACCTGCTAAGACAGAATTTAGAAAATTCCAGCCACAACTCCTGAATTCTCCCTCCCCTGTCACAGGAGTCCACCCAGCCTTGGGTAGACAGAAGCAGTGGCAACAGCTCCAGCTCCGGACTGAGCCCCATTGTGGGGCAGGTAGCAGCTGCAGCTCTGATTCTGGCTCTAGCCCCTCAGTCAGAGTCAAAGGCACAGCTGCAACTCCCCCTTGCCCCAGACCAGTACTCAAAGTCAAGATGAGGCTTTTTTTTTTTTCCTTCTGTTCCCTCATTGAATGGGGGTGGGGACCTCATCTTGGAATACATATAGCATATGTTTACAAGTAACCCAAGGCAGAAGATCTGAGCAAATTTTACAGAGTAAGCTGCATAAACAGCTTACCAAGGGAAATGGTAGCTGCAGAATTCTTTGCTGTTAGCAGTCTATAAAGTTGCAGTTGACAGACTGAGAAAAAACCTAGCTTAGATCCTAATTCCCTTGTGCCTTCTCACCCCATAGGTATAAGAAAATCTCAAATGCTGCTTTTCCATGCTCTCTTTTAAGCAGCACTGCTAAGTATCCCTCAGATCTTACCTTAGTCACATGCTCCTCCTCTAAATCATCATCATCATCTTCATCCAACCTATGAGAGAGAAAAAAAACCAAGAGAGTTACCTTTCAGCAAGTCTCCAGATAGTTGGTCTCACTGGCTGTGATCTTTCATGAGAAATTAACATCAAGCTACAAACTAATTCAAATTGATTGGGGTACTCCTGCTAGAACTAAAATCCAGAGGTTCCTGGTTAAAGGGAATTGCCCCCACTGTTCGGGGTCAGACCTGAATTTGAGGTCTGCAAAGAATTTTCCCCCATGGTCAAATTGGTATAGAATGTGGAGGGTCTGGCCTTCCTCTGCAGCACAGGGGGTGATGGTGGAGGGTGGGGGGGAAGAGAGGTGAGGCACAGTCCTCTTCCTTAGATCTCTCAAGTGGTGGAATTTTGAGAATGCCCCTGTCTCCCTGCTTCACCTGTTGCAGGTAGGGTGCTCTTGGTATCTTCAAGCTATGCACCTTGTAGTTGTGCAACAGGGTTGTGCAGTTTTGGGAATAGGGCAGACAAACACTTGTATGGAATGATTTGGATAGGGACGCTCCATGAGCAGGGGTTTGAATAGATGACCTCCTGATGTCTCTTCCAACTAACTTTCTAAGATTCTTAGTGAGGTAGCTGCATTCTCACATGAAACCCCCAGACTCCTGACCTGGAGGCTATATTAAAAATCAAGTTTCTAAGAGTAGCAAGTAAATACAATGGACAGCAGAGGGCAAACTTTCACTTTTTAGGACAGAGATAAACGTGAAACTGTGGCATCTGCCAGAGCTTCACATCTCAGCTAATCAGTTCTACAGTATTTCTTGGTACATCAGTTAAAAAGAAAACTCCCAATACATATGCACAGAGGACACAAAGAGGTCAGGAAAAAAAAACCCCCACCAAATGCGATTCTGCAAAAATAGTTTAATTAAATAAAGAACTCACTACTGACTGAGGGCATTAAGTTTGGAACAGAATCTGATGCATTTTACCAGGGCTTTGGGACTTTATGATGAAACTGAAGTATTGTACGCTCTTCAAGTACTGGTAGTTTTGTAAAACTGTATGTTTGTCAATTTCCTAGACATGGGGAGTGTCAAACTTATCTGGCCCCTGAACACAGGGCTGGTCCAGATCCTGGTCCACCCTCTCCCTCCCCCCATATGCTGGATCCAGTGCACACAGTGCCCACTCCAAGACTGCGCTGCATGCAGTACTCAAAAGGGGCCAGTCTGGGATGCATGCCACATGTAGCACACACTCCAACCATTCCAGGACCCACACTGCATACAGTGCAGGTCCCAAACCATATGTTGTGTTCTAAATCAACTCTAATACCCAGGGGCAGCACCAGGACTGAATGATGGGGCTCTGCAGACCAGATCCAGTCCACTGATCCACTATGACATGCACATCACTTCATATTTAACAGGAAGGGTATGCCAGTTTCTAAAAAGAAACCCACACATCCACCGAAGAAAAAAACCTGAAAAGCTCCACATTATCCACACTACATATAAGAATCAAGTTCCTAGCAATTAATCCCCTGCACCCAGCCCTTACCCAGCTCCTACTTTCTTCTCCTCATCACTCTCATACTCGGCCAGGATCAGCTCCTCCTCACTGTGATCAAGCTGCTCTAGAACATCTGACCCTGCCTCTTTGGACAAGATCTCCTTACTGAGCTGGAGAAGGCGTTCTGTCTCGTCATCTTCACACTTCTGAAATTAGCACAAGGGACTATCAGTCACTCAGAAAGACAGACTGTGTCAACACCACCACCACCACTCCATACCACGTGGACCAGAGGACAGCAGTGTCCTCCAGAAGACAGAGGAACAGCTACCAGCCACATCCCCAGCACAATGGAGAGGTTTCAGGTTCTTCATTCATTTTTCTACTATTCATTACTTAGTAAATTGTACAGGGGGGTGACATGCTGCCTTCCCCCTGCCCCACACCACCTTTCTCTTCCCCAGTCCCCCTTGCAGCCCCAAATCAGACTCACTAGCTGGATTTGTTCTGGAGATGGACTGACTGCCATCCATCTGGCCTGAAAGGGAAAAAGGTCAGGCACCACTGATCTACAGTATGACCCTATTTGTCTCCTCTGTATTTGAATCAGTTATAGTTGGTTCTTTTTGTTCTCAAACTTAAGTTTTCATTACCTTTAACCCCTGCCCCACCCTGGGCACAGCTTTACAAGCACTCGTGGTGCTCTGGTGTGGTGCCAGAGGACTGGAAAAGGGCCAATGTGGTTCCCATTTTCAAAAAAGGGAGGAAGGAGGACCCGGGAAACTATAGGCCAGTTAGTCTTACCTTGATCCTGGGTATACTTTTTGAGAGAATTATCATGGCGCATGCCCATGAGGGGCCAGCAGGTGAGATTATGCTTAGGGGCAACCAACACGGGTTCATTAGAGGCAGGTCCTGTCAGACCAACCTGGTGGCCTTATATGACCAGGTCACAAAATCTTTAGACGCAGGAGTAGCAGTGGACGTAATCTTTCTGGATTTTAGGAAGGCCTTCGACACTCCCAGGTCTCGCACCCCATTCTCATTAAGAAATTAGGTGACTGTGTCGTCAATGCTTACACGGTCAGATGGGTCGCAAATTGGCTGGAGGGTTGCACCCAGAGAGTGGTGGTGGATGGGTCTTATTTGACCTGGAGGGATGTGGGCAG